CCTCGATTTGTAATTTTCGGAATCCAGGAAAAACAACCCAAAAACGGTGGAAAAATACGAAATTTCTTGGATGAAAACACTCACAAACACTTCAATAACTTGAATATCAAAAGACTTACAAGTTTCCACGGATACAATGCTCTCAATTCGAGAAGAGAAGCTTTCTCCCAAGCCCTAAAGAAGAAGAAAGCTAAAATAGCCACCAAAACAAGATTCCTCTCCAACCAACCCTAACTCTGCTTTAACCCTCACATGAAACCCCCAAAATACCCTAATTACCCCTAGGGCAAACAAAACAAACTCCCACTTACATTTGGTGGGCCCACCCGCCTCCTCCTTCTTCTTCGGCCGAATGCCCAGGCGGGCGATTTCTCCGCCTGTAACAGGCGAGAACCGGCCCCTTGTGGGCCGGTGTGGATGCAGGATGGACCGGTCGGTCCGGTCCATCACAATGCCTATGCTAGACTGATAACTATTATTAGATGTAAACAATATCAACGGGATAGTATAGTCTGAATAATGAGCCTTATAAAGAATCTCCTGCCTGCCTCATATCTAAAAAAATAGGAACCAAAAAATTTATCATTATAGAAAATAACACAAAAATCAGAAACTCGTTGTTCATATTTTTTACCAGATATGATCTGATCAATCAACTTTGAATATTCTATATCAGATTTCTGAGTTTCCTGAATCTTTTCTTCGAAAGAAGGTTGGATGATTATTGATGCGGACATCCGATCATAAAGATTTTTAAAGGAGGAGATGACGATCAACGACCGAGATCATTCTACCTTATCTTAATTTGTTATTTGTAATTTTTATTTTTTATTATGAATTTTCTGTTTTTACTCTTACTTAAAGAGGATCGTCCTATGTAAGCCCTAAGGGCATATGTGTCTTGTTTTAGTTTCTTAGGCCTATATATAGAGGCCATTGCTTGTGTAATGTAATGATGAATTATTAATAAAATTTTGTTTACACTTGTGTTCATTGGAGAGAATTTGGGTGAGATTCCTATGGGAGTGAATTGGAGTTTCCACCAGCCGCATGATGGGTCCGGGCTTGTGGCGTGAAGTCCCTTGGAGAAGGGCAATGTATTACACGTCAGCTGCAGGATGTTTCCGGGCTCACGGTTGTATCTTTCTTTCAATAAATCCTTCTCTCCTCCTTCCTCGACCGCCAGCCAAAATCCCCCACTTGCCACCGGCCGATTCTCCCACAAACCCCTCCAAAGCCACAAGCCTCTTCCAATCTATCCATATCAACCGCCGGTCATAAACCACTCCACCACCACTTCCTAGTCGGCCACCCCATCTCCTCTCATCCTCCTAGCCTGCCAGCCACCCCCATCCCTTTTTCCTCTTAATGATGATTTTAATCATCATTAATACATACCAAAATTAGCCTACCTAATTTGGGGTAAGAATTAAATATATTTGAAATTCAAATTTGAATTTAAATACTTTTCTAAAATTAACTAAGCTAAATTAGAAAAGTTCCTAAATTTAAGTCTAATTTGATTTTAAATTAGATTTGATTTAATTACCCTTTTCCTAATTTAGAATCATGATTTAGGAAGTTTTAAATTCCCTCAATTTTTCTCTCTCCATTAATTACACCCATTATATCCTTTCTTAACCGGTCCTCCTTCGCACTTCTCATTAGATCCCAAATTAAATCCCCATTAGTTATTTCCTTATTTAGCCTCTTGTTATTTGGAAAGAATTTGAATTCAAATTCAAAATAATTTGAATTCCAAAAGCTTTCTAATTAAATCAATTCTCATTTAGGAAACCCCTCAAATCTCTCAAATTTGAAATTAATTTCATATTTAATTACCCCATCACATTTAATGCTATGGTCTACATACATTGCATGTGGACATTTCTCCTCCCTTCCCATATGGTCTGCCTCATCTCTCCCATATTTTAATTACTTCCTTCCTTATCAAGGAATTTAATTATGGGAATAATTAATCACCTATTTATCCTTCCCTCTATCTTATTTGAATTTCAAATTCAAATCCCTTAGTTAAGGAAAATCTGAAATTGAATTTCAGATATTTAATTTTTTTTACCCTCCCTTCGTTCTACATCAATTATCTAATACACTATATCAAATTACCAATTAGTAGAGGAAATCACCTCTAACTATAATCTCTTCATATCTCGTATCAAGTACTCATCAAAAGTGAGCTGCATATATGATAATCTAGAAGACTTACTGCTCAGAGTATCTGCCACAACATTAGTCTTACCAGACTTATACTGAATAGTCAGATTATAATCCTTGATCAACTCAAGCCACCTCCTTCGCCTCAGATTCAGATCCTTCTGAGTGAATATTTATTTCAGACTCTAATGATCAGTGAACATCTCATACCTGACACCGTATAAATAATGCCGCAAAATCTTCAAATCAAATACAACAACAATCAACTCTAGATCATGCGTTAGATAGTTTCTTTCATGCGCCTTCAGCTTTCTTGAAGCATAAGCTATTACTCGACCATGCTACATCAAAACACACCCCAATCGTCTCAGTTAAGCATCACTGAATACCTAAAATACTTCTGTACCAGAGTGAAGAGCCAAAATTGGAGCAGAAGTTAAACAATCATTCAATCTCCGAAAGCTAGCCTTGCACTCCAATGCCCAGACAAAAGTTACTGACTTCTGAGTCAGTCTCGTCAGAGGTGCAGAAATCTGAGAAAACCCCTTTCACAAACTTCCTGTAATATCCAGTCATACCCAAGAAACTGCGTATTTCGAATATAATAGTAGGCATCAGCCAATTAATGACTGTATGAACTTTTTGAGGATCGACAGAGAGATGCCATCACCACTCACCACGTGTCCCAAAAAAGAAATACTCCTTAACCAGAACTCACATTTGAAGAATTTGACATATAAGTGATGCTGCTTCAAAGTCTCCAATACAATCCTCAGATGTCTGGCATGATCTTTCTCAGACGCAGAATATATCAAAATATCATATATGAAAATAATCACAAATTTATCCACATAATCTCTAAATACTTTGTTCATCAAATCCATAAAGACAACTGCTGTATTAGTCAACCCAAATAGTATGATCAAAAACTCGTAGTGTACGCACATAGTTGCTATTGTTTGAGGATATTATAGGATGTGTAGCCAGTTGCTACCAATTTCCCTGCTTTCTTTTCACGTTTCTAACATTATTCAAATAATTTTGATATGGTGATTTATTTCAAATAATTTATTTACAACTATTATCGTTTACATTGTTTTCAGATTAATATAGGGAGAAATGATTCAATATTCTTCAAGATATTGTATAATGAACAATTTCTTATATGATAAGTGGATATTATAAAGGCTTAAATTTATAATTAGTATAATCACAATAGGCTGGCAAAGTTATATTCATAGAAATGGTGTGCTATAAAAAAATTATTAATATATAAGTTACGAATGCCAAAAAAAGGATTGTTAAAATAGATGCATGATAAGATTAGGAATAATAAATTAAAGGATGATCATATGAGAGTAAAGGTTGGAGTGAAGTTTATTGAATATAATGTAACTGAAAATGTGAAAGAATCCATGACCCAGTGGTTGGAGGAAAAGGTTGTTTCTTCAAAGTCATGTGTTCAAGTTATATACTTCGTGATTTATCGCTTGTCATTCTAAAAAAAAAAGTTATTAAATAGACTTTAGCTTGTTTGGACATTTGCAATGAAGAATAGAAAATGCATTTGCTAGGTGAGTTAATAAATTATTTCCAGAGGACAAGGAAAATGGATAAACTTAAAATTTCTTCAGTAAGATGAGTTGATAAAATTAGCATCGGAGGATTATGATGGAAAATGGGTAGATCTCAAAATGACTTGCGATGAATATATTTAACATATTAGATAACACTCAGTAGCAATGAATAAAAAATGAGGGTTCATAACATAATCCCAAAATAGTTGGAAAAAGTCTAATGATGATGATTGTTCAAAATATTTCAGAATTCTATTTACCTTCAAATCATGCTTTTAGTCCTTGCAATCACTCTTCATTTCCAAACCATTTCACTTTCATTTAGTGTGAAGCTGTTGGGCGTGTTGCTGATATTATTCAAATTCCAGCTTTCCTTTGCCGCCAGGTACATTGATCTCTTTGGCATTTTGTTGCTGGATTGCCAATTAACTTCTATATTTCATGCTAATCTGCCTTTGAATTCCTATTCTCCGGTGTGAAAGGATCTATTTACTGTTGAGATTTTCTATTTCACAGACTGACCTCTTAGTTGCTGCTGCAAGGACGGGCAAAATCATTAACATCAAGAAAGGACAATTTTGCGCTTCATCTGTATGTGAAAACCTTTGAAACTTAATGTTCTAAATTTTTTTTGACATGTATATTGTTTTTTTGTGCTATTCTGTGTTGCATTCAATTGAGGTACTGGTATTTAGTATTCATAATTAAAAGCATGAAAATCCATATGACAGATATAATTTTATAGAAATTATATTCCAGTTGCTGGCAATTGGTATTTTGTGATTACGGTACTAAGAAAATCCATATGATAGAAACATTATTGAAATTAATATTTATAAATTAATTAAAGTTAAAAAATTATTTTTTAAATCTAGTCATTGTGATTAGCTTCATGTGATGTAAATAGAGAATAATAAATTTATATTTAATTAAATTTAAAAATAGATTCTTTTTTTTTTAATTTATCAGTTGTTATTGGCTTGATTTGATGTGAATGCAAACCAATTTTCATACATTTGAATTTGATGATAAAATATTATTTAGTTATTTTCTTAACTTTACAGGAATACATTTATCTCACATTTACATCCAAATTAGTCATTTATAATTTTAACAATATTTAACATCTTAATATTCAATGATATATATATATATATATATATATATATATATAATTTTCTTTAATGTTTATAAAAGTTTATCAACATGCAATTCTACCAACTTACATTTAATTAGCTTGCATCTTTGATACATCACGAAAAATCGCTTTGATCGAGCACAATTTAAATTAAATGTGAACAAATTTAAAGATTGAGGGTATTTAAATTTATAGAAAATATTTTTTTTGTATGAATTCTATTTAATTTTTAAGTAGAAATTTACAATATTACATCATTATTTTGTCATTTAAATGTTATTTTTTTATAATTTTAATATTTATTACACCATCCGGTTCAACTCTTGTTTTAATCTTGGTTGAACCATTAAAACTTAAATATCTTATTGTGGTTCTATATTCGACCCAGTTTATAGGACCTTGCTCTTCTGGATTGCAGTCTAGCTAGTTTCATATGATTTCATAAACTTAGGTTGTTATGAGGTTGATCAGAACATGTTCGAGTAGAACTTTGGGATGAATGGTGTTGAGTTGGGTTTGGAGTTAATCTATGTTTGATAAGATATATTTGTTAGTTTTCTAGGTTAAATATTATAACAAAAAATTCATGATGCACTCTAAGACCTTTCTTAGCCACTTTCTCGAAGCATCCATGTGGAACCAGTTTCAATGCTGTAGATCAATTTAGACTCATCATCATCCCAATATTTCTTACTTTAAACACTTTAGTGGGATAAAGGCTTGATGATGTTGTTGTTGTAAACATTTTAGATGTAAAAAACCCTATTAAATGAGATGTACTACTTTGATACAAACTCTTTACTATGATCAATTGTTCTATCAAAATTTAGTCCATGTATTAGCTTATAAATTTAATATAAATTATTGTTAATTTATATTATATATTTAGATATAATTTACATCTATAGATTATATACTAAATTCACATTATAAATTTGCATCTATAAATTATTCATGTTCGATAATTTATCATTAAAAAAAAAATAATTTTTTTAATAATATACAAATAAATAAATAAGATGTAAATTATAATGTGAATTTAGATGCACAGGATTGCACGAATTATAGAGGTATTAAGTTAATGTGTCATACTTTAAAATTATGGGAGCGAGTTATAGAGCATAGGTTGCGGCGTAATACTAATGTTTCTCAAAATCAATTTGGATTCATGCCGGGTAGGTCGACTATGGAAGCCATACATTTATTAAGAGGTTTGATGGAGAAATATAGAGAAAATAAGGAGGATCTACATATGATATTTACTGATTTAGAAAAAGCATATGATAAAGTTCCAAGATTTGGAGTAGCTCTAGTAGAAGATAAGATTAGAGAGAGTTGCCTTAGATGGTTTGGTCACATAAAACGGCGGCCTTCCGATGACCCGGTTAGGAGAGTAGAGGTATTAGATTTGACTTGTGTTAAGAAAGGTAGGGGTAGACCTAAAAAGACTTGGTTAGAAAATATTAGGAATGACCTTTCTTTATTAGATTTAAACGAGAATTTGGCTTTTAATAGGACACAATGGAGAAAAAGGATTCATGTAGCTGACCCCATGTAGTGGGATAAAGGCTTGATGTTGTTGTTGTTGTTGTATACAAATAAATAAATAAATAAAATTGATAATAAATTAAATACTATTAAATAAAAAATAAATATTTTTTATATTAAAAAAATAATTAAAAATCTGTTAAAAAATATGTAATATATGTGTTATGAATTCAAAGACGTCAACTTAATTATTTAGTGCCACATTACTTGAGAATTTTATCTTATTTTCATTTTTATAGTTCTTTTAGTTTGCATTTGTTAAAAAAATCACATGGGGGTAGTGGGACTATATGTGAAAATGCTTAATTGGTGTAATTTTAATAAATGATTATTATGAGAATTTAATGATCATTAAAAAATTAAAATATTTGAATTTAAAATAATTTATAAGGTTTAATATTTCTTTAATATTTTATATAAAATTTATTAATATAAATTTATTTAATTGTTTAAATAGGACAACAATTGAACTAGTCGGTTCAAAGAAATCGAGAACTGTTCAATGATTCTCCAGTTAAACTGGTAGTTCTGATCAGTTCCAATTTAATGTAGAGTCGGTTTTTAAGATAGACTATACTAGCCATATGACCAGTGTTCAACTGGACGAACCAATCGATCTGAAAATTAGAGATAAGGTTAGTAGAAATCGTTAATAGGTTAGAAGGAGGGAATCGTCACTAGCCACTTAATGGATATCAACAACGTGACTAAGAAGATGACTACTTTCAAGTTAGTTTTTAAACTATTGTGAATCCTTACTGACAACTCAATAACTATTTCACTAGCTGCTGCTAACTTTTCTTATTGCAAATTTTTGCCTTATTTTTATCTTACTCCAACTTGACACCAACCTAATTCGGATTTGTTTAGAGGCCCCCAACTACCCAAGCCAAAGGGAAGTGGAAGGGAATTTTAGTTTGGCATAAGAAGATTAAATATTAGGGGTATCACAATGGGTTAACTGGTTGGGATTACTATGACTTGAAGTTGACTCGACTTGAACCTAATTGACTCGAATCCTGCCCGTTTAATAAATGAGTTAAAAGAGTAAACATGATTCTAAGTTGTCGTCAACTTAATTGACCTGAACCCGACCTGATAAACCATATAATTAGAATTTTTTGTTAGTCATGAAGAACACTACTATTATATCCCAGTAATTTTCTTAACTGCAACAAAGGGCTTGCTTTTGTTAATCTAAAAAATTCATGAAACTTCAAATAAAACAGTATATGGAAATGAAACAATCCATCCAAAAATAGCAACTATGTAATAGTGAATTGCTATGGCTTTATTGTGGCGGAATTTGTCATGTCTTGTTTTTGTGCTTTCATGGATGATTGGAGATGCCTGTGAGGTCGGAGAGGTGAGTAATGACATCGAGTGAGGCACTGATGTAGATTTAATTGCTTTGCGACGGGTGAGATATGGAAAATGGCGAGAATGCGAATTCTGGAGTGCTTTTATAGGGTACTTTTGAATGAAGAGCTGTGACTAAATAATGAATTTTAGTGCATTATTATGGATCCGTCGGGCCAGAATTGGGTTTTTGGGTGAACCCAAACTCAACCCGTTAATTTAACATGTTGGAATTCTAGATCTGAACCCAATGCAAAAACTAATTGGTTCAACCCGAGCTTAGATTTTTCGAGTTGGGTTCGTGTTGGGTTGTAATGTTGAGTCATTTATTGACACCTCTTCTAAATGTCTCTCATCTCATTTCCTTTTATAAATATTAGGCTTACCTCTAAGCTCTTTTCAAGTATTTTCACATCAACTCAGGGAAGCCTTGTCAGAATGGTACCAATCTAACCACTTATGAGGAAATCCACCTTGCAAAGAGAAGGTGAAGGGGATACTCTAAACTCCATTATAATCTCTTGCATCTATCTTTTAAATGAAGCGTAGTTATTTACATGGAGGTTAATCCTTAAGCTAAGTGATAAAATTGTTCCAATAATAATTTTACTAGTGTCCAAAGACTTGGTAAAATCAAGACCGATTCAAGATAAAAGAGGACATTCTCTTATCTTTATAACTTTAAATTTTTTTAATAGCACATAAAATCCTAGTAGATCATGTAAATAGGATTTAATCATCATCCTATCATGCCTTGGCTCTTCATGCCCTATCCGGTGATGTGTTTTGTGGTAAGCTTGTTGCAATAGTCATTGATAATCTTCATTAGTGGTTTGAATGTTTTAACTTGATCTTCTCATTCTTTTCTTTGAGTTTGAATGCATAACAACCTCCAATTCTTTTTTTCATGATGCGGCTGATCTTTGCATTTTATTGGGATTTTGAACTTCATTTTCATCTCCTGAAAAGTTCTTCTCCAAGCATTCTGGAAAGTTCATGGGTCCTTCTGGAAGGCTCTTATGCAAGGTTGTGGAAGGCTCTTAGGCCTTTTGGAATGTTTCATAACTTCTACATGTTGTAGAAGCTTCTCACAAAAAATTAGCTTGCACTTTGGATGGTTATTTTTGATGGGCCTGATTAGGTTGTGAATACGAAGTTGCACATATGCCGTTGGCCCGTTAGTGACTAAAGATCCCTGCTTGTACGCTAAGATTCCTAAAAGAAGCTCATGTTGGGCCAAATAGAGTATATGGGATTGTGGGCACTCCGCAATTTTCCTGCCTATCAACTCTCCCCATATCAGCTTTTGGGAGTTTAGTTGGAAGCCAAAGTTTAAGCACCTTTCTCGCATTTTACCCTTTCACTAGATGCTCCCCCTCAAAAGGTTTGAGAGGACTTACAGATTTCTTGATTTCATTTTGTTCACATTCTATTTGCTTAGTGAATAATGAATATACTGAGAATATTTATTTCTTCTACTTAACTAATTTTTAACTAGCTTTGCTGAGACTCTTAAATGAGTCCATATAGCTAATGTAATCTTAAGAATTTTGTGAACATGTTCCCTGCAATGTTACTGGCAGGTAATGGTGAATTCTGCAGAAAAAATTAGACTTGCTGGCAACCAGAATGTGATGGTTTGTGAACGTGGAACTATGTTTGGCTACAGTAAGTTTATATATATTTTATGCATGTCGTAGATATGCCACTCAATATAGTAAGATATATTTTGGAAAAATTGAGAATTATTATTAGATAGTTATGTTTTTCAAAAAAAATAAAATAAAATAAAAAATCACCCCATTAAACTGTTTGAAGTTTCAAAATGACCTTCATATGGGTTGCTTTACTGATTTAGCTAGTATGATGAAGGTGCTATTTTATCTTGGGAGATTTACATACATACCACTCTATACTATTTTATTTACATATTTAACACCTAAAACTTTAATATTACATATATACCATCCATAGTTCATTTTTATATCATATATGAGTGGTAGAAATGAAATATATGAGTGATAGGAATGAAATATGAGTGACATATTTGATATTGAAATAATATAGGGTGGTATGTATGTAATATTAAAGTTTTAGGTGTTAGATATATAAATAGGATGTTATAAAGTGGTTGAGGTTGTCTTTTATGATTTTTGTGAAAACCAGTGTTGAGGTTGTCTTTTCTATTTCCATATCTCTATTTTTGAATCTAGTCCTTAATTTAATATCTTGCTCATTTTCATGTGTAGATGATTTAATTGTTGATCCACGTAATTTGGTGTGGATGAGAGAAGCCAATTGTCCAGTGGTAAGTATACTATGCAGAATGTGATGGATCATCTAACATCTTGTCCTTGATGGTCTACTGTCACTGGTTGCTTTCTTCCAAACATTTTCACTTTGGTAGGTTTCCAATGCTCCTGTCAAATTCTTAGCAAAAAAGCTTATTATTTAGCTTTACTTTGTCTCAGGTCGCTGATATTACTCACTCACTGCAACAACCTGCTGGAAAAAAGGTAGAAACTTTTAAAAACTTGATATCTTATTCCCTGGTAATTGTGTTATCTCTGAGGAGGTTTTATATGTTATAGCGTTTGTGTGAGTCTTATGAAGTAATACCATTTTTATCAAACGGCACCTTACCTTTATTTTTCAAGATGTCAACTTGTTGCAACTATTACTTGCACAGAATTCATCAGATTGACACTAGTAGGCCAGCTTGACAAACTGAAGTAAATTTGTAATTTTTCATATTTTCAGCGAGTTCAATCTAATTCTTGGTTAAATGTATTTCTAGTTCAAAACCTTACACATCTTCAATCAATAATATACGTTTTCAAATGTCTCTTAATCCTTTTTTTTCTGATGGAAATTCATTTTTATTGCGAATCAATTTGCAAATGCATTAATTAGATTTTTTTTTTCATGTCACGAAATTTGAGCTTGGCTCTATGCATCTCATATAACTAGATTTTTTGACACTTTTTATGTTCATTAATGCTGGTTGGAGCTATGGCGTCCTAATCTTCTATGCATTTGATGATTGTGTCAATTGGCTCAGAATGCTCTTTCGAGGAAGCTATTAACACTATGATGGACTTATTGGGTGAACTTTTTTATCCCATTTTGTTTTCAGCTTGAAGGTGGTGGTGTTGCTAGTGGTGGTTTGCGTGAACTAATACCTTGTATTGCTAGGACAGCTGTTGCAGTTGGTGTGGATGGGCTATTCATGGAGGTAAGAACACAGCTTCATAGTATGAATTTCTGTATTCTTCTCTATTTCTGGCTAAAGAAAAAGCTTGCTTGAGATTTTTTTTTTCCTGATCGCTTGAATCTTACCTTTAACCCTTAATAGAAAACACTACATAAATCTAAATTCAAAATGGCTACAATTGACCTAAGAGAATTGTTTTGAACATACTATATTAGCAGTTTTTGGAATGTAATCTTTATGGTTGGTTTAAAGCAATCACATGCTGGGTGCTTGTGGGCAGTCTTAACTACAACGCTCAGGAGTAATTACTTGTGTGGGGTGTAAATGAGTCAAGCTTGTTGTGTGTTTGTGTTCAGCTCATTCAAATTTTTATTTGTTTGAAATTGGCTTGGATTTCAAAATTTTACTGACATTCTTTACACCATTTATAATTTTCCAAAATCTGTGAAATGTTAAGTTAATTTCTGATGGTGTTTTTTACCTGCTCAGGTGCATGATGATCCACTGAATGCTCCTGTAGATGGTCCAACACAATGGGTGAGATTTTTTTTTTAAGAAGAGTAATGTTTCACTTAGGGGTGAAACCAGGAAGAGTTCAGGGTGGGCAATTGCCCATCCTTTTTTTTTTAGAAAAATAAATATTTTAACTATTTTCCTCACCTTCAATAAACACAATTTCTAAAATTTTAAGTTTTTTTTTTTTTGCTATTTCATATATAAGATTATGCATTTCATAATCACCCTACAAAAAGAGGCTGGTTACGCCCTTTCACTCACTAACAAAAAAAATTCTATAACTCTCCAATATAAATCTACAATTGCAATGGTGACATATCAGAGTGATGGTCATATATCCGCATCACATTTAAGCACAAGATCAATAAATCAAAGAGTAGATATATATTGGGAGTGAAACTTTATGTAACTTGAGTAGAATTTTCTTCATTCATAAATCCAAAGTTGATATGAAGTATTCGGATCTTCTTCAATTACCATAATAATTAGAGGGAAAATCTCAAGCATCCAATTCCCTTTCAATGGTTGAGATTGCTTTCTCAAAACCATTCTAGTTTGAGAAACATAACCAAAGTTGATAATGAGGATTCTACAACAACAACATGAAGTCTTTATCCCATTACTCGGGATCTGCTACATGAATTCTTTTTAAGAGTCAAATTCTCATTTAAATCTAATAAAAATGTCATTTTTAATATTTTTTAATCAAATCTTTTAGGAATGAAGGATTCTGATTAGTAATAAATCATTTTAATCATGAATTTATTTGGGGTTTAATATCTCGTTTATTTTCTGATTTCATATCAACCTACAATGTTTGCACAGCCTTTGCGCCACTTGGAGGAACTTTTGGAAGAGCTCATAGCAATAGCTGTAAGCAATAATCCTCCCCAATGCTATCTATGTTCAGTTCATAGTCATATTTCTTTGATATTTCTCTGATCTCTAATAATAAGTAAATTGTTTTTTTAATTCTGTTTTGAAGAGAGTAACTAAGGGGAAGAAGCCATTTGAAATTGATCTCAGACCTTTTCGTGATTAAATCATGAGAATCTGCTGCACAAGTGAGGTAAAAATTTCAGTTTCTGTTGTAATTCTTAACTGTAGCCGCCTGTTTTCGGTAAGTCACTTCCAGAATTATCTTGTTCGAGTTCTTCTTCTTTTTTATTATTATTTTTTTAAATTTTCTATTGAATTTGAACATGAATTGTAATTTGGGCTGCATTTGTGATTACTGTCTTATTTAAATTCATTCATTTTATCATCAGTCAAATTTGAGCTGAAAATGAATATGACCTGTAGCTAGGGTTGGAAGTTCATTTAGGATCTGTTTGGGATGGTTGTAGTGTTTTGTAAAATTGGGCATGAAATTGCTATTGGAAAAACTACTTAGTTGCTCTTGTTGCAAAAAATAGTTTTCCACTTTTTTTTTTGGAAAATAATGAAAAAAAGTATGAAAGCAGTAGCCAAGCAAAATTATGATTGTCGTGTAAAAATAAAGCAATGAAAAAGTTGTCTCAAATAAACCCTTAGGATTCGTTTCACTTTATACTTTTTTAAAGCAATTTTTTAAAGCAAAATTTTAAGTTCAGCAAAATTTGTATGAGAATTTTGTTTTAAAAAATTATAAGAAAGTTGTTCCAAATGAAGCCTTGGTTTTCTATCGAGTTCAAATTGAGTTTAGACATGACTCAACATTTTAAATTTAATTTAAACTTCTTTATTAGGTTTCTTATTTGGTTTGAGTTGAGCTTAAATAGTTATATATTTAATGTTAATTTTTTTAACATAAAATTTAATTATTAGACATAATTGAATTTATATATTTTAATTAAAATTGGAATAAGTTATCATGTATTATTTAAACTGTTTTGTGACATTTGATTATTAATAAGAGAAAGTTTAAATTTATGTCTAATTATTTATTTGATATCTTCATCATTATTATATCGTTATTAATGTTAATAATTTGTAATGATATAGAAGAAATAATATATAAATACAATATAAGCCATCAAATAAATAATTATGAATCAATAAATTAGTATTTTATTTAATTTTAATGAAATTATCTAGATAATAAATAAGTTTAATCAAGAACATAAATGAATAAATTAATCCAATAAATAGATTTACATGTTGAGTTATTATAATTTTAGTTTCAAAATTGTTCAATTGTATACGTAAATACATATAAAGTGTATTTTATGCAAAGTTGATTTAATCCTTATGAAAGTTGTACATTATGTAAGTTTTTTATGTAAAATATGAATATTTATGTATCTAATATGTATTTGATGTTAATTTTATATGCATGAGCGATAAAAAGTTCAGTGAAGGAGTTGATGCGAATTTAAAATTAGTATCTTTAACCCCTTCCTCTCCACTACGAACTTTTATTATGTCCTCTGATCGGACGTAGTTCTACGTTCGATCAGAGGATTGTTACTCGGTTTTTGCTCGGTATTTGATCGGTATTGCTAGGTATTGTTTGGTAATAACGAGGAATACCGCTCTGTGAAGATCAATACCAAGTAATACCGAGCAATACCGGGTTTTTTTAGAAAAAAACTCGGTATTTTTTGGGATTGCTCGGTATTACTCGGTATTTTGTCTTCACATAATGATATTTCTCGTTATTGTTGGTATTGCTCGGTATTTTCTTGGTATTTCTCATTTTGTGTCTGCGATCTTAGCTCTACGTATGTTCACCGGACCAAATAAAAGTTCCTCCACTACATCTTTCTCATTTCTCTCTCTCAACACCACATCCTTTATCACGACCCTATTCAACATAACCGATATTCTAATTGGTCATATCAAGTCATAGGTAAGGCACATCATTTTCTAAGACCTTTTATTGAAAATAATTTTTTTATATCATTTTATTTACAACAGAGCCATAAAAAATCATAAATATATAAAAATACAATTCATCCAAATTATACAGGCAACACATATCCATTCATATTAAAGTGTGTACGCAATACAATAATCATAGAATTTTCAATCTTTTCATCCAATACAAATATCCCATGATTACAAAATAATTTAGCTATATCATATAATTAAAGATACTTCTAAGAACAAAACTTCTAACTCGCTCCACTTGAGCCTTCCTATTTCCTAAAACACATAAACATACATAGTGAGCAAACACATAGTGTGTACGCAATACAATAATCATAGAATTTTCAATCTTTTCATCCAATACAAATATCCCATGATTACAAAATAATTTAGCTATATCATATAATTAAAGATACTTCTAAGAACAAAACTTCTAACTCGCTCCACTTGAGCCTTCCTATTTCCTAAAACACATAAACATACATAGTGAGCAAACACATAAACATATATAGCGAGCAAACAAATAATATATATATATATATATATATAGCGAGCAAACAACTTAGTAGGTTACACATAACTTATAACTATATTCAATGCAAGGAAGGTTGAACAATATACATGTTATCATCATTTGAATATGAAGGTTGATCATATATATGTGTGTGTGTGTGTGTGTGCAAATTTTGTTGTCCCAATAATGATTTCATTATTTTTGTGTGCATAGGTATAATTCCCAACAACTCAAAAGAAACCTTAAACCCCATTAGTGACACCCTTGACATGGCGAGTGGTGTCTTATACACATTTTGTTAGCGTGGCATAAAGAAACTCGTCATAATAATCACAATGCAATAATTAAACCCTTAAAACCCATCGATGATGCATTTGACATTGCAAGTGGAGCTCCGTACATGCTTTTGTTTAGCTTGGTGGGAAGAAACTCATTTCTTGCGTTCATGGAGACACGAGTGGATCTTGTTAGTGACACTCTCAATGTTGCAAGTGGAGCTTTTTACATGTTTTTCTTAGTGTGATAGGAGAAATCTTGTCAACAATGTGCGTGATGAGACTATGTAATTTACTTAACATAAATTTTCATGCATATTTCCCTTACTCATCTTTCTTAGCATGATGAACTTTTTGAGAATTTTGGATGTAATGTTGTAGGATACTGATCATACATGTCTTTGTTGGCATGGTGGTCATGTCCTGACTACTCGTAGATTCCCCATATATGCTAGGAGGCTGTAAAAATTTTTATTGAATAAGCCTTAAAAACTATACAAAATGAGACCTAAAACTAACAAGATTCAAAGAAAAAAAATAATTAATACAAAGCTAAGAAAAAAAAATGTAATGCAAATAGTCCTCAAAATAACAAAATATTAAGCAAAGAGTATAAAATTAAGATCATGGGGGATAGTTGTAATATTTGTCATATAAAATTTAGATAATTTTCTATTAAGGATCATCAATTCTTTTATTAATTAATAATTATGAGTCTTAAAATATTAAATGGGGCATAAAGTAACCATGGTTGGGGCCTAAGAATTAAAAACCCAAAAACTTACTTTATGACACCTACAGTGCCAGAATTGGTAGCACCCCGACATTGAGTTCTAGGGTTTTTGAAAAAAAATAAATAGATTTTGAGCATGCATTATGGCGGTGCCAGGTTTCTAAGGAGGATATTATGGAAGCATCCGGAAGATCCTCTAAGAGCATTGCGACACCAAAAAAGCGAGCATCGTAGCACTAGGTCAAAATAGTTAAAATATTATATTAAAATATCAAAATCATTGAGCCATTCTCATTCCACGTAGCCTTGTCGGAGAAGCAGAGAGGAGAAGGGAGGCAAAAAAGAGGAAAGAGAAAGGAAGAGAGAGGGATTCAGAGGCCAAATCTCGGTATTCGTCCGTCGGGCCAATTCGACATATTGTTAAGCTCAATGTAGACTCATAAATCATTAATTTTATTTTAATTCCAGTAAATTTATAAAAAGATATGAACAAAAATATATTTTCTTGGGTCTTATGAAGTTTTCACTGTATGATTTTTAATATGTTATTGAACTTCTTATTGTGAATGATTTGGCTATATGAAATTGAAAATTTTCAACGGTTGCTTTTTCCTACATGATTTTCTAAGTATTTTATTGAATTAAGGTTTTTCTAGCAAATACAATAGTTATATAAAAGTTTTGAAATATTCATGTGAATGTTTCTTTAAAGTTAGAAATTAAAAAGGGAAGGTTTAGTGAGTATTCTATTTTACAAGTAGTGTGACTTTCACTGGCAATTCATGCACTTTCTAAATATTGCATCAAGTACGAATGTGAAGGTGAAATGCAAGTGAATATGTGAGAATAAAAATTATGTTTGATATCTGGAGGCATCTATGAAAGTGGTTATGTGGTTATAAAAGTATAAGTTATAGTTCTGAGATCAGGTATATGCCAAAACTCTAATAAATTCAAGTTTTGTTTATACTTTAATTCTTTCGCATGTTTTTATGTTTTCCTTTAATTAATTATTTTTCAATATTGCATTGTATATGGATATCTACGAGTGGTAAAGGTGGGATTCTACTGAGCTAGTTGAGTTTATTTTGTTGCTTTTAAGTGTTTCAGGCAAAGGAAAAGGTTTGATATAGTATATCAAGTTTAGAAGAGGATTCTCTTAGCTTGGGATATAAGATATTGATTTGTAGAATTGAAAGTTGATTTGATTATGCATTTATGTTTTAATGAAACAAAAATTTGGTTATTACTACTTTATGTTTTGAATAAATTTAGTAGTTCTAGTTTTTATTATTTGAGGATGAGGTAATTAATTATAAGTCTAGGTAAGTCCAATCCTTCCATTAAATTCTAGGGTGTTACAATAGTGAAGCTTGCAAGTTCACTTTGAACACAAACAAAACCTCACCATTGCACTCAAAGCCTCAAGGACCCAAACTAGTAAACTTAAGTGAAGCTAATGGATGTGAGAAATGAGCCAACCACCTCTCATATTTATGGGAAGAAGCCCCCCATGAGGCCCATAGTAATTAATTAAAAATATTTAAAATTCCAAAGTACAAAATGTGTCGCATGCACTTGTCTAAATTTCACCTTCTTCGTCGCTTGATTCACAATTCTCTTTTGTGTAATTAGGCATGACACGATCTTTAAAAATGTTTAAATTGCAAAATATAAATACAAATATTAAAGATTGCATGACTTTGCCACTTACACAAATTTTATGAGGCAATTTTCAAATTCTAACATTCAAAGTCTCGGATATCATTCAAGAGTCATGAAAGTGATAAAATGACTAAATTTTGATATTTTCAATTCATATGCACACATCACAATGCAAACCTCAAACACTATCAAATTTGTATTAAGAAATATGTAAATGCATCTAGTGCACCAAATGTCCCAAATATGCATCATACGAGTGCATTGAAAATTGTGCAAGTAC